GCGCACAGAGTCGCGGTACGCACAGCGCCCTCGCCCGGAAGAGCCGTGCCTGGAAGGGCCGCGCTTGCGCGCCAGCGCCCTCGCCTGGAAGGGCCGCGCCTGCGTGCCACGTCCCCCGCCGTGTCCTCCCTCGGGGGACCCGCCCCCCCGCCCCCAGGTGCAGTTACCTGGCAGCATATGGTGCACAGGCGTGGCTATGTTGATGTCCTGCAGATGCTTGAGCGTCTCCGTGTGGAAGAGGCGGAGCGTGGACCCAGAGGTGAAGGCGATCCAGATCCCCACGCCAGCGACGACCATGTGAGAGACCACCATGCCTTCTTCCTGGTGGGCGTCCAGCTGATTCTGGAGAGATCAAGGAGAAGCGGTGGACGGGGCAGCGGGTGCACCTGGAGCCTTGCCCACCGCGGAGGCAGAGCCCAGCAGTCCCCGGGTGGGGGGCGAGAGCAGGAAGGCGGGAGGGACAGAGGGACGGAGCGGGCAGAGGGACGGAAGGCCCGGGAACAGGGAGACACGATGGCCAAAGGAGGCCGGCCAGCGCCCCCGACTTTGGTGGGGAGTCAGCAGCCCTCCCCCAAATCCTGAGCAGGAACGGAGGTCCACACCCCGGCCTTGGGCGGCCCCGAGACGGCCTGTCTGACCCCACCGCTCCCAGCGCTCCTGGGCTGCCCACGGTGTCTGGGTTTGCAGTCGCCCCTTGCCTGCCCACAAAGGCCACCCGCTACTTCTCTGTGTGACCAGGTCGTTCCTCCCGGGCTTCTGGCCGAGCTCTGTCCTGTCCACATCTCCATCCGGACAACCCTGCTCTATGGGGACCCACGGGGGCAGATTTTGTGACTTGGTCCCAGCGCGGATGGGCCGGCACTGGGCAGCTGGCGGTGTTGTCTGCTAGGTCTGGAGGAGGGGTGTGAGCCTGGAGACTCCATGTGAAGACACGGGGTCCTCAGGGCAGACCAAACCCCACACGGTCCTCCCACACGGTCCTCCAGATGAAAACCCTGGAGGCTGAGCCACATGGGAAACAGGTGGGCTTACTTCTCTGACTCAAGGGCTGGTCCCAAAAGTCTAAGCGCAGGGGGCGCTGTGTAGAGCCCGCTGAACTGCCCGCCTTCCCCGGCTGCTCCTCTTGGGCTCATGACATGGTGGTCACTACTCCCTGGGGGAGGAAGGCACATCTGGGGGGAGGGTCGTGCACGTTACGGAAGCTCGGGAATCAAGGAGCAAAGCCACGTTCTGTCCTTGCCGCGGACACTCCAGGAAAGACAAGATAGCACAGGTTGCTGGCCCTCAAATCCCGGTTTCTAATTCAGCAGGCTGAGGGTGGGGCCCAGAACTAGCATTTCCAGAATGTTCCGAGGGCCCGCCACTGCTCCACACCCCCTTTTTTCCACTGCTTTCCGGCAAGTTACTTTATCCATTCACTGCAGTTTGTCCTCCTTTCTGTCCCGAGTCACGTCACATGCGGCCTTGATGTGCTCCCAAGATGCCGCGGGCACATCTCCGGTGCTGCTGGTGCACACTGTCCGCGACTGCCCGCTGACGTGTCTCCTGCACTTCGCGGCCGGTGGCCTGTTCTCCCAGAACCAGCTCGTCATGCAGGCCTGCGGGTCCTGTGGGCCCCCCCGCCCATGTGCGTGGTCTCCAGCAGCACCCCCTTCAGAGGGGCCGGCAAACCGGCCTTCAGAGAGCACGGACTTCCTGACATCGGTGGCTCACCATCCACCCAGCGTGGTGGTATCCCTGCCCCGGCCAGATGTGGCTGCTGTCGTGGGACACCTCCCGCCCTGGCGGCCATCTGCGATGCTCACAGGGACCGAGGAATAGCCCTGAGCTCGTCTGTAGTGAACGTGAGGTCCCTTCCGACCCCACCTGTGCCGCCCTCTCTTCCCACCAGGCTCTCAGGCTCCCCCGACCTTTCTCGCACGTGATGGGCCTCCCTCCTCACAGGCTCTACGTTGTCTCCTTCCAGGAATTCTGCTCGGCTGGGACAGCCGGCGGCATAGGGCTCTCGGGCAGAAATAATCCAGCGTTTCTGTCCTTTCCTGTGTGTCCCTGGCATCAAAGCCACGATTCCGCTCTTTCCTGCCAGCTGCCTGGCGCGGCCAGAGCCACCGCTGGCTGACTTTCTGCCAGCTGCAGGAGGTGGGGTCTTGCAGGACGCTGGACTGGCACATCAAGGACAAGCCACAGAAAAGCTAGTTGTGGTCCAACGGAAAGCGCATCGACCTCGAGCCCGTCTGGGACCCAGCGCGTCCAGGTGTGGCACCTGGTGACTTCCCGAAGGCCTGCTGTCCTATGCCGCCCTCGGGGGTCTCGCGCAGTCTAACACCGTCCACCCAGGCCCGCACGGACTCGGTGTTACTCTGACCGCGGTCAGCCCACGCTCTGTGACGTGAAGGAGCTCCTACAATGGGCTGGAGGCTTACGGTCCACCTTCTGACGTTACAGAATCTGCCACCAAGCGTGTCCATGAACAGGTTTCACGAATGTCTTGAAATGTGTCTCAGTGAGTGCTGGCAAAATGTCTTCAAGCCCCTGTCCTGGCTGAACCGGTGACCCTTCCTAAGGAGAGTCTAGACAAATATTTTTGGAAGTCCATGATGACTAAAGTTGATCACGAGTTTGTGGAGATTGGCAACAGTCATTCCAAAATGCCCTCAGGGCCCTCACGGGGATGACGGGGACCCTCCCCTGAACAGATTCCTTTCTCTACCACCTTGGGTGTGATGCTCAGAGGAATTTTTATCTGTGACAGGATTTGTTTCATTGGTGGAAAAAAAAAAACAAAACCTTTGCTATCTGAGTTCATTTAGAGTAGAGGTGAGAAACGGTCATGTGTAGACAGAAAATAATTAGGTACATGGCAACTTTTAATAAAAAAAGAAATATATAAAATGGGCAAAAAATTCAAAGGTATAATAAGTAAAATTCTTTCTCTCTCATCCCTGCTACCCTGCTTAGGACGGCTTTTTGTGTGTCTCTGAAAGTACACGCACGTGCACGTGTTAAGCAACTGCTAACAACAGGTAATACATAAAGCGCTCTGCGGGCACCCTCTGTACGTGTATGTTCACACAACAACACTCTGCAACCTGCCCCTCCTCCGCTTAACTGAACACCTGCCAGCGCTGCCCGCTCTTTCTCTCCTGCCACTGCCAGGTATGACGTTATTTACCTAGTTCCCCCACTGGTGCTCGTTGGGTATTTTCAATTATTCGTGGTATCACACAACGCGGTGATACGTGACCTCACCCACACACGCGTGAGCTTATCTAAGGAGCAAACGTCCAGCGGTGGCATTGCCAGGAAAAGGATTGAGCCCTTTGAATGCCAGACGCCAACGCGGGATTGCCTTCCGGAGACGCCGCACAGCGGCCTCCCTCCACTGGCTGAGTCCCGGAGCCCTGGACTTGCCCGGGACCAGCCACGACGTGCCCACAGCTCGCCAACGCTGGAAAGTGTGAACGTTTCACCTTTCGCCCATTTGAAAAATGGCTCCTTGTTACAACCAGCGCTTTCTAGAGATGAGGCTAACGCACGTACGCCTGTACGTACGGGTAAACACGTGTGTGAGTACACTGGCCGGGTGTACGAACACGTACATGTGCGCTGCACGATTCTTAGTTTAGTGCCCTATTCGTATTTTTCTCTAAGCTGCCTTATGTCCTCTGAACATTTTTTACTAGCTTGGCTTCTTTCTCTTAAAGTTAATAAGAATTCTCTTTAATAAGAACATTACCTCTCAGCCACAGATGTGGCATATATTTTCTTCATTTTCATTTACAGAAGTTTCTATACAAACACACACTTATTAAATGTGCACAGAAAATGTTCTAAAACCGCACCAAATTTATTTTCTTTATTATGGCAACTTCTAGGCATGTGTCATGCTTGGAAAATCTCTCCCGCTACAAAGTAATGAGAACATTGTACTGCTTTCTATCTAAGTTTATGATTTTGTTTATGTTTTTAAAATTACCTCCATCTGTAAAGTTTACAAGGGAAAAGGCTCGGGGCCAGAGGCATGGCTCCACATTTCCACATGGCCCGTTGTCTCCTGATCCTTTGTTGAATAACCCACGGATTGCACTGATTGGAAAAGGCCACTTCGATCAAATGTCAAGTCTGTCCATGTCCTCGAAGACTCTCTATTATGTTCGTACTGAGCACGTTTTTTAAAGTAACGTGTTTGTGGTCGTTAGCAGATAAACAAGCAACAGTTATTTCATGGGCGCGTGGCTAGAGGACGGTTAGCTGAGTTATCTACTTAATCTGGTCTTTCCCAGATTTCCCTCCCAAATCTAGGAGGAATTTTCTCTCCGTGCAGGGCCACATGCAAGAGGCTGCCAGCATCGGCTACAGGCCAGAGGCCCTCTGACCGCCAGCATCGGAGTCTAACTGGGGCCAGCTCTAAGATGCGTCTCTTCTGTGCCACGCACTCAAGGGGCTTACCTCTATTGTGTGGGTCTCGGCGCTGATCGTAAAAACTTGACCTCCCGAAGCTGCCCATAACGTGTCCTCCGTCATTACGAGACTTCTAACTGGTAGCACGCCTAGTTTTATCACTGTCTGAGGTTCGGGACTCCAGGATCCATCTTGAAAAACAAAAATTTTACTTTCAAATTCAGTTATCTGTACACAGGGAGTAGGGACAGGATCCCAGCTCATTTTAAGTAACAGGCAAAATATCATCGGTAACCGTGACGTTCACACTTGGTGCTGGGCGTCCAGAGTTCCACGAGCACCATTTCCACGAGGCAACTCAGCACGGTGGCAGAGCCCGGAGTGTGAACGACCCCAGCCCGGCCACCTGGCGCGTGTCCCGCACAAACGGCCCGCGAGGTGGCTGTGACAGTGTGAGGCATGACGAGGTGATCGATCAGCTCAGCAAGGTGCCCGGCGCCCAGGTGTCTCATACGCCCTGTCATCTACAACGCCAATACACGAAATGACCCCGTCGTCAGGAGGAGGGTCCACACCCACACGGTGCGAGCCAACGTCCGCACCTCCCACTGCCTGCTCGCTCTTTTGAGCTTTCCCTTGATACGCATCCTGTATCATCAGGATGGACCGTATCTTCCCTGCATTAGAACAGTAAGTCAGAACTGGGAGGAGAGGCTTTCGCTTGCTACGGTCCTGAAGCACAGGCCCTGATGAAATATGTCGCTTTGCAAATACTTTCAAGGATCTAAGGATGAGGTCTGTCATACTTCACATGAAGTAGAGTCAACAAACAACTTGGAGAGCGGTAAAAAATATGTAAAGCAAGACTAGACACACGTTTTCCACGTGACTACATAATTGTCCTGTGAAAATTTAAAATAAATTTTTCAATTTTCAAAGCAACCACTAATTAAGCCATCATGCCTAAAAACATCTTTAAAAAATTGTTTTTTACATTTATTTATTTTTGAGAGACAGAGAGAAACAGAGCACAAGTGGGGGAAGGGCAGAGAGAGAGGGAGACACAGAATCCCAAGCAGCTCCAGGCTCTGAGCTGTCAGCACAGAGCCCAACGCGGGGCTCGAACCCACGAACCGTGAGATCGTGACCTGAGCTGAAGTCAGACGCTTAACTGACTGAGCCACCCAGGCGCCCCTATGCCTGAAAGCATTTAATGGTTCATCCACCAGTGCCTCTGACTTCCTAATCAAAACAGAGCTTTGCTCAGGGACGAGGGCACAGTCTTGGTTCCGAACCAAGTTCTGGCTTTTGTGTTCTAGATCTGAAGCACTGAAACTTTTAATCCAATCCCTCTTTATGAATAACTTTAGCTGAGGTTGTGCAACCACCAGGAGGCAACCAGGCAGGTTCTGAATTCCATGGCACACTTTCAAGTTATAATTCAACTTAAATGGAGATGCTTTTATGCTACAATTAAGGCAAAAGATGTTGCAGGACAATTACTGGTTCCAGTGGACAATGACCTGTAAAATCATTTGTAAAATCTGCACTGGACCCGGAGTATCATCACGTGGTTACACATGCGTGCACACACAAGCACACGCTCACTAGCAGTCACACGTGCACATACATATACACAGAAGCACACAGGCCTTTTCATCCGGGACTCAGAGCCCTTTGAGACCCCGCAGTCTCCACTTTCAATGGGATCACAGAGGCTCCGAGCTGAGATGCGATTCTCCCCAACACTCGCATGGGACTGAGAGAGCAGGGCTGTGGATCCCTGCTGCCCCTGCCCCACGGGGCCTGCCCCCCCCGATGTGGCCACATCCTCCAAATCAAGACGCCTGCTGCTGTCAAGATATTTTGGTTTGGGACTAACTTCTAACAACTGAACTTTGTTTTCCGACCACCTAAGTCATTCCTTCTACAGATCCCGTGCACAAAATCCTCTGAGGGCCATGGGGAGGGCACAATGTCGGTCCCTGGGATGCGGGCCTCAGCTCCAGCTGACACGCCACCTATCTGGGGACAACCTCTTTCTACAGTCTTCCCTCCAGACCTGAGTCCTCAACCAGGCTGTCCAACCACAGCTGGGTGCAAACCCATGCCAATGACATTTTGAACCCACACTTAAAAATCTGGAAATTTCCTACAGAACATTCCAGATTTCGAACGCCCTGAAAAGTCAGATGCTTGCAGCAGTGCCTGGCTGAGAAGCAGCCTTTCCCCCTCCGGCTAGGCACATCGTCACCCCTCAGAGAACAGGACGGTGGGGAAGAGACACCTCTCCAAAGAAGACATTCAGACGGCAGACAGGTACGTGAACTTGCAGTCAGCACCACACATCATCAGAGAAATGGATTGAAAGCACAATGGGCCATCGCTCCACACTTGTGAGGATGACATCATCAAAGACACAAGAAACAACAGGTGTTGGCGAGGATGCGGCGAAAGGGGGACCCTCGTGCACAGCTGGTGGGAATGCAAACCGGTGCGGCCGCTCTGGACGACAGTGTGGAGGCTCCTCAGGAGATTAGAAACAGAACTACTCTACGACCCAGCTGCCCCACTTCTGGGCTCTTACGCGAAGGACACGCGAACAGTAATTTGAAAAGGCCTGTCCGCCCCATGTTCACACGGCATTATTTATGATCGCCAAGACACGGAGAAGATCCAAGTGTCCCCCAACGTGTGAATGGACAGAGATGTGCTACACATACAACGGAATATCATTCGGCCATAGAAAATGAGCAAATCCTACTGCTTGTAATGTAGGAGACAGGTCAGACAAAGACAGACAAACCCGCTAATGGCCCTCGGCCGCCCTCAGGAGGGGCACAGACCCCTGCTCCCCGCCCTTTCTAGCCT